AGCAGCGAAGAAGACCCGGAGCAATGTTGCCATGGCTACCCTTCTGTTTATGCCCCGCGGTGGATTTAGCAACATGTAGTTCATGTAATTCTCCATGTCCACTTGTTGCTGATGGTTGTGGTAGAGGAGCTGTAGATGTTGCACTAACATATGTAGCATGGTCAGTAGCAGTAGCACTAGCAGTAGCTACTGACAGGAGGAAGTGTGTGTGGCGATTGCTGGTATTCAGCGGGATATAGTAATTTCCTCAGCATGTAAATATATGGATAAATGCAACGGGGAAGTTAACTGAAAGAAACCGAATCTGTGGATATTGCATCGACCGACCAAGAAGCACGTCTCCGTGGAGAGGACGCGCTCAGAAAGAGAGATATTTTCTACAAACACTGGGTGAGATCGCTCCTCTGGGACACGCCGGTCCTCGTGTTTCCTTTTTTTGTGTGGATTATAGCCTGAATAGGCCTACAAACATTTCTCTTTTTGCCGCCGACGGGCGCAGGAGCAATGAACCATAATGGCCTGGATTAGGCAGTAAAGACAATTTTGGTGTATCGCAGAGCGGACTGTTTAATTTTGTTTGTGTTTGGCTGGAAAATTGTCAATATAATGGATCAATGCATGAAATCTGACTCTGTTTATTTTGTTTAAGGAGTATATTAGGCGTTAACAATTCTGGTTTGCCTTTTATAATATTATTTCATTGAAGAACCCCTTGTGCGTTTAATTAACACAGCTATTTTTGATAGTTGATCGTTACAGATGGCTACTGGCCATGCTACAGCAGTGAGCAGGAGAGGTGGGGAGAGGTGGGGCTATCGTTATTTTTTCAGGAAATATTCGTATAGAGGCGATTACACGGACTCGTTTGACCCCCCAGAGAGTTTCGTTTGCAAATCTATCCACCTTGGGACCCGTTATCGTTTGTGGGGTCCGTTTCTATCGGCCTCGTGTAAATAATAGGGCTATACGCAAGAGAAACTATGCAGATTGTTGGAGCAGAACACCTCTGCTATGCGCCGTTCGTTGGATGAGGCTGGATCTCTATTAAATTAAGAAAGGAATTGAAAACACCGGAATCAAAGTTATAACAAATTATCTGAGTTTACTTCTAGTAGGAAACCAAACACATATACAAGTTATACAGAGTACTCGAGCACTCCGGACTTTCAGATTTGTGATGCGATGCGGATAAAGGCGTCAGGACCATCAAACTCATCAAACCAAAAAGAAATTGGACTTCAGGTTTGTGATGCGATGCGGACACAGATATCAGGACCAACAAACTCACCAAACCAAAAAGCATTTTTACACTCAAAAACATCAGTATTCATATGTATCTTTGGGGCGGAGATTTGTCGATTCTTCCTTCCCACTTTTCTCCCAAGCGAATTAGAGAACCCCTGGGGAGGAGCTGTTTAAGCTGATCACCTCCCCCAAGTGTCCTGATTGGCTGGATTCGCTTCTGGTGAGGTCAATAGTTCTCACCAGGACTTGAAATTCCAAAGTCCCCTAAGGTCAAAAGTCAATTCTTATCTCCGTCCCGATCTTAACTCCATTCCTTTTCCATGAGAGTTTTTCACATAAACTATCCTATTTCAGACATTTAAACTTTCCTTCACCTATTTAACGATGTCTTTAACGACTTAAAACCAACATCTGGCTTTTAGGGATGATAAGAAGCGATGTAATGTTGTCTTTAATGACCTTAATGACGACATCTGCTTTTAGGGGTAAAACAGGCAAGGTTGCTGTGTTGGAACACAGAATCTCTGGATCAGTGAGTTTGAAAGTAAGAATAACATTCCTATTCTATATATAATTACCCAAAACCATTGTGATTACATAAAACAGTTCAAACAATACATGTTCACTAAAATACAATTCAAAATAATACATGTTTACTTCAATACAGTGTAGAATCATATCTTTTTACTTCAATCCCCCTTTTTGATCTCACCTCACGAGATCAACATATAGCATTTGAAACATTACCACTGTCATTCTTTTTCCCTACTGTGTCTGTCCCAACATTTATATAAACCCATCAGAAGCTGGGATATAGAGCACTTTAAACCTTTAGGAACAGTCCACAACAAGAACTTCTTATGACAGTAGAGGGAGAATAAAATATGTCTAAAAAGCAAAGTCCTTGTCAGCTGAGTCATCTTTACTCTTCCCTCAATGGTGGAACTGATGATGTGTCTAACACACAATGAGCAGATACAAGGCACACAACAACAACCACATGTCACCAAAATGGCAATAAAAGTAGCCACAGAAATTAGAAAAGACATTATCATACTTTTCCCTCTTTTGGTAACACATAGTTCTGTAGAATAAAAAATACAAATCCCTTAAATTATGGGATATAAAAATAAAGTTGAAAGTTCCTCCAAAAAATGGATTGTTCAGACAAAGTTCCACACCGGCTATATCAACCTGTTTCAGCGGGAAATGGAGTTCCCTGTGCCGTCTTGGTTTGCCATGTCTTCGTCCCCCCAGCCCGCTGACGGCGGCTTCTGGGGTGCCTGCTAGAGAGATGTGGCCTGATTGTCCTCCCCCGGCCCGCTGATGGCGGCCTCCGGGTCGATGCTGGAGAGATGTCCTGATCCTCCTCCTCCGGCCCGCTGATGGCGCCTCCTGGGTCGACTGCCTTGACGAGAGCCAGATCTGTTCTGATGTCGTCTAGGGTCCTCGCGACGAGGGCCAACTCTGTCCTGATGTCGTCCAGGGTCCTCGCAGGTGTTTTTCCCGACCGCACACTGGCTCCAGTGGTACCAGTTGTCTCCCTTTCCATCTAGGCGAACGGCATGGGAGGTCCCCTCCAACCAGACGTAATCTGCTGTGTTGGCCTTGTGTTTCTCGGGTCCCCCTTTTGACGTTAGCAGCCTGTGTGGAGAAGTCTCATACCAAGCCCTTAAGTTGCTGGAAATATGGTTTTGAAATCATCTTTTCTACTTCTTTAGTGTTTATTGGCGGCACCAACTAGACTGGAGTGTGGACAAGAGACTATGCAGAAAATAATAAACAAAAAATAAGAATAAAAAATAAAAAATAAAAATAAAAAATAGAACAAAAATAAAAATAAAACAAAAATAACCAAAGCTAGATTATTTTAAATGTATCAATTTCTCTTAAACGCAACAAACAAAACAAAAAATACCAAAACTAGTATTTTAAATTGATAAATTTCTCCTAAAGACGTAATAATCTCACATACATATTGTCTGATGTATATCCTATCCTTTTCCCCCTTTTTCTGAAATAGAACGCCGTTAACGGTGTTCTTATTTTCAGAAACATCGAGCCTTATACATCAGTTATTTAATATCAGCTATATATTTATTATTACTATTACTTATATATCAGGCATTAAATGTCAGCCTTCTTCCATGATTGACCTCGTCTACATTATCTGACTTATATTGATACGTGTTCGTTTGTATTTATTTAATATACTGGGCAATTTATAGATAACTTTTTGAATCTCCCTCTTTTCTTAACAACTGGAGCTATGGCTATCTGAAATCTGACTTGGTTAAGAGATGATTTGTTTATTGGTGAGAGGCACACTCTTGCCCTCGTGATTGGGTGGGGGTGGGTAGTTAGGGAGAGTTCCTTACAATCTCCAGATCTTCCTCTCTGTGTTGAGGCCATAAAACCTTTTAATGGGCTCTGTGGTCTGTTCAGATCTAGATTTTCTTCCTCTCCAGAGGTCATGCCTGTCTTTGACCCTGCATGCTGCTGTGATACTGCAGTACCTCAGGAGCAGAGAAAGGGGGAGATCTCTTCCCAAAAGTGTAAGCTCCCACATGAGCAACATAGCAACACATCAAACTCTCCCTGACTTGTTTGTAAAGCGTTCTTTAAGGCTTGAATTGAGTCTTCTGTTGTGTAACGGAAAATCCCATTTCCAAAAGGGGTCAGTTTAATAGTCCTTATCATATTATCGCTCTGTTTTAGCTCCATATTAGCAGGGTTCACTAACATGGTTGGTTGATCCAGTTTAAGATTTTCAATATCTGCCATTACTATTTCCAACATTCCTTTTCCCTGAATATCAGGTCTAACAATGTGTTTTCTTTTAGGAGTATTAGATGGGATACTCATAAGTGGCATTTGTGAGCTATCATCTCCGTAGGGTGGAGGTAGGGTCTCAGACATTATACCACCTGCTTGTTGCTCTCTGTCTCTATGTCTTCTGCAATTCTTTACCCACAGTTCTTTTTACTGGATTTGTCTCTCAAGTATTACACAGATTTGACTTAAAAAAAAAAAATCACACAGAGCTTTTCATACCTTATCATATTACAGTCAGGCACATTTTTATTGTGCGATGTTTATTTCAACAGATAGCGTGACTTCCAGAAGCAAACTTCTACAATCCCCTCACGGTGATTGCGGCTTCAGGTCAAGAGTTAAAACTCAGTCAACAAAATCTCTTTATCGTCACGTTTAATGAGCCTGATTATCCCCACAACAGTTTTGTGATGAGATTCGGTCGTTCCAAATAATTAGTTGGAGGTCGCGTCTCTCTCCTCCTCTATCACCCACCATATAACAATTACAGACATTTTATACATTTAAAGCACCACGAAAGGTAACCGCATTAATCAATCTTATCATGATCTGCGGGGAATTTAACCCTTCTGTTTTTTACACCTTTGTAGTCTTTAATTAAAGCACTGTAAAGCAACCGTATTAATCAATGTTATTTTGACTTACGGGGAATTTAACCTATACTTCTTTTACAGCCTTACAGTCTTCGTATTTAGTGAGTGAAGGGCCGGGACTAACCTACCCGCCTCTCTCAAACACTATTTTTGCTCTAGGTCCAGGACTGAATACCCTTGTCTAAGCACTTCCCCAATATCCCCAACTTGTAATATGTATTGTATTTCCCACCATGACTAAGAACACTGAGAACGCTGCTGACAACTCTAAATTTTTTAGTATAATCAATCACAGATTTTTGATAGTCAAAACAGGTGTCTGCTCACCTTTTGTATATTGCCATGGTCTTAGTTGTCACCAGTATCTCTGTGTCCTCCCCCTGGACTGGATTCTGTCCCCTGGCTATCGGTGTTCCTTTCTAGAGATCAGCTCCCATCACGTCGGGAAAGTCACCACTTGTTGGAGCAGAACACCTCTGCTACGCGCCGTTCGTTGGATGAGGCTGGATCTCTATTAAATTAAGAAAGGAATTGAAAACACCGGAATCAAAGTTATAACAAATTATCTGAGTTTACTTCTAGTAGGAAACCAAACACATATACAAGTTATACAGAGTACTCGAGCACTCCGGACTTTCAGATTTGTGATGCGATGCGGATAAAGGCGTCAGGACCATCAAACTCATCAAACCAAAAAGAAATTGGACTTCAGGTTTGTGATGCGATGCGGACACAGATATCAGGACCAACAAACTCACCAAACCAAAAAGCATTTTTACACTCAAAAACATCAGTATTCATATGTATCTTTGGGGCGGAGATTTGTCGATTCTTCCTTCCCACTTTTCTCCCAAGCGAATTAGAGAACCCCTGGGGAGGAGCTGTTTAAGCTGATCACCTCCCCCAAGTGTCATTTGGCTGGATTCGCTTCTGGTGAGGTCAATAGTTCTCACCAGGGGCCTCATTTATAAAGGGATATACGCTCAAAAAATGGCGTACGCCAGTTTCTACGCAATGTTTGCGATTTATAAAATACTAACTTGACGGGAAAATGTGCTGTCCTCCACGCAAACTCTAACCCATGCGTACGCACTAAGCACACAAACGGGAGAGACGAGAAACTGCGACACCGTTGGCAGAAGGAAGAATGGAGAGAAATATGTGGAAATAATACCATAAATAAAATGTTACCTCTCATTTATCAAATATGAAGAATTCATTTTCAAACATTGATTAAAGCCAATCTTAAAATGATTAAACAAACGCCTGTTTGAGACTCCTCAGTGCACACAAAAACATAACTTGGAGAAATAAATAAATACGGATATGCTATTTAAAACCACCTCGAATATGTTGTGTTAATGTTATGAAATGTTTTCTCATAAATGATGCGGTAAGCAGGAGGACAGAATTACGTCTAAACTGACGCCGTTTTGCATTTCTATAGGTTGTAGATACGAGCATGGTTTTATATACTATCACGTTTAATCGTGTTTTATGCCGTTTGCCAAGACTTGATAAGTAGCTCGTAAAACACAGGAGGTATGGAAACTAAGAACACCATATGTGGTAAACAGCTAATATAACACAATCCATTAGTTGTATTTCCTTTAACTGGTGGATTATGTATATATAGTTGCTGATCGACAGCTGGAACACAAACCACCAAATATAACAAAAATAATTCAGATCCAGTCGTCATGACTCCACTCCGGAGGGATTCCCCGATCATTTCTTACAGTTTCTCATCAAGGGGGTGTCTCCTGTCCCCGGGACAAACACACTGCCTGAGGAAGGTTATGTGTATTTGTTTTGTCATTAACTTTTTTCGGACCACTTATTTATTTATTTTGGTGACGATCCGACCTCCATGCTGCTACTCTGGTTCAAACTGCATCCACCAAACAATATGATTTATCTCGACCTCCCCACAATAACCAAAATCTGACACGGTGTGAGATGTCTTTTTTAGCTGTTCTATCGTAATTTCCTGCGATCTTCTTCATGCAGTCAGTCAAAATGAATGAATGAATGGGCGTTTCTTTGACTATGTATAGGCAAATATGGGCGTTACGAGTCGATTGTGATTTATCAAGGGAAACAGGCGTAGGGAGTGCCGTACGCACTTCCCTCGCCGGTACGCAACGTTTTGTGAATCGGAAAATGGCGGAAAATTTATGTACCTATTTTTGTGCTTTGTACTACGTAAGCAACCTTCCTACGTCAATCCTACGCAAGGCGTTATAAATGAGGCCCCAGGACTTGAAATTCCAAAGTCCCCTAAGGTCAAAAGTCAATTCTTATCTCCGTCCCGATCTTAACTCCATTCCTTTTCCATGAGAGTTTTTCACATAAACTATCCTATTTCAGACATTTAAACTTTCCTTCACCTATTTAACGATGTCTTTAACGACTTAAAACCAACATCTGGCTTTTAGGGATGATAAGAAGCGATGTAATGTTGTCTTTAATGACCTTAATGACGACATCTGCTTTTAGGGGTAAAACAGGCAAGGTTGCTGTGTTGGAACACAGAATCTCTGGATCAGTGAGTTTGAAAGTAAGAATAACATTCCTATTCTATATATAATTACCCAAAACCGTTGTGATTACATAAAACAGTTCAAACAATACATGTTCACTAAAATACAATTCAAAATAATACATGTTTACTTCAATACAGTGTAGAATCATATCTTTTTACTTCAAGATACAAGCCGTTTTGTCCTCGTGTAAACGGCACCTAAGATTAAACTAATTTATTTTGGGAACAGCCGCATATATGGAGTTAGCCATATGTGTGTAAATTACTGTTCATAAACATTTGAAAACAAATGCCGGTGTCGGACAGACACAAACACACCGAACACTCAGAGCTGAGCTGAGCAGAGCACATACACACACACATCATGTGCCTTGGTGACTGACTGGACATCTCCTTCATAAAACTAATACAAGGGGGAGTAATCGGGCAGTTCGATGTGTGTAGAGATGTGTGTAGAGGTGTGTGTGTGTCCCGCTGCCTCCTGATGCTGCAGCCATTTCATGAAGTGAAGGACGTTTTCCTTCTATAAAACAGCTGCGGGCAGCAGATACCGTGAGAGTCCCGGACATGAATTCATAGATCAAGGCAGACTGGTTTACTCTCCTGTTTTGCCAATCCGGTGCTTAAACAAATAGCTCTACACCCCTGGCCGACATGTCCTTAAAATGAAGTCCGAGTTTGAAATATATCTCAAATAATGTATGCACCACCATTTCCCCACATAAACATAACAGTCTGCAATCAAACGGTTGTCTCCTGTGCGCTCCTCTTCCTACTTGGCGCACCGGTAACATTCTTGTGCACAAGAGGCTGAGACCTTAGGCTGAGCCGCCGAATCCCTCGGAACATCATAAAAGCCATTTTCAACGGTTTTCTGGTGAAAGATTAACTACAGATGGAGCCTCTTATTTTGGACCCCAGCATACAGCTTCCTGCCGACTGCCAGCCAGTTGCCAGCCAGTTGCCTGCCAAAGACCAGTATTCAGGAATGTTAGGCCCTCCCACTATTCTCCAATTTCAGGGTTTAACCAGGAGATGGCGCTATATATTAAATAACTAAGACTTAGTTTTTCACAATAGAAAATGCAGATATTATATAAAAAACTAAAGTTAAAATCTTGTTTTTAATGCCCCAAGAGCAATAACATCTTGTCACAAGCTTTTTGGAAGAAAAAGACTGACTCAAGAGACCTGTAGTTGACTAATTACAGGCCTCAATAAAGTTCTGCCATTGGTTGTGAAAAACAACGGTGGACATAGTGGAAAGTGAAATTGACATTGTCGAATTTAATAAAAATACAAAATAATGTATCTGTGTACGTGTTTTACTATGTGATCTGCACTTATCAAACATCTAATTAAGGCGAGACACCCCAGGTGAATAGGGTATTTTTAACTTAAAGATATCAGCTAAATATTTCTCCAGTTAATTACTTACAATAAGGCAATTGTTTTTTGTATTACAAGTTTTCTGAAATAGCATGTTTAAATATCCAAATGAACCATTATCTCATGAGATATGCGCATATTTTAACACATTTCAGGAACCGAAATCTGAACTTTGGATAAAGCCAGGATCAAAATTATTGTTTCATTTTGTAGTCATATTAGTATCTAAGGCTTTTACAGAAGGGATTTTGGATATCTCTTTGTATCACTCCATAAATCAGAAAATACTGTCAACAGCCCTAAAATATCAATTTTCACCATGTTTTTAGGTATAAAATGTTATATAATTCAGGCTATGAATTATATATGACCAAACCCTTCTGTAAAAGCCTTCATAATATTGATAGGAATATAACTGGAAGGTTTGGTGTATGTAACTGCTGAGTGATTCTACAATTTAGGGTACATTCCATGTCCATTGATGTCCATTGATGATAATTATAATTATTCTAACTATTTTCTTCAAAAATATCATATTTTGCCTATTATTGGAAAGCATGTTATAATATCACACAAACATTATGTGCATCCTATGCTTTATTTAGCTTGAAATGTGTCATGATGTTCTTAAATTGTCAGTTTTTGCTATGTCCGTTTTTCAGTTGAGGGTGTCTTGGATTCAAAATAATGAATAAAAACCATTAAAGTAAATTTAAAAAATGATTCATTTATTTCAAAAGTCTAAATACTAAAGAATAATAACATATTTTTAATTGATTTCCCCCTTTAAATAATTTAAATATCTTAATATATGAATGTCCGCAAAAGTTCTGTCAACTATGTTACTAACAGAACTTCCCCCTTTAACTCAAAAATTGTTTGTCCCAATACCATGTCACCAGCATCACATGATGCCATGTTCCTCTTTGGCAGACATTTTGAACACACTGTGGTGATTGTCCTCTACATTTTTACAATATTTTATGTATAATAGCACATGGTCAATTAATATACTCATTGACAATCAACAATGTTACGTACATTGTTATGGTTTACAATTGTTTAATGATTTTAATTCAATTATATGTGCAAATGTGATGTTAACCTGTTCAAGAAAATGACATGTGGTCATCCAGGCAAGGCCTACCATTGAAATGATGGGTCAAAATAGGGAAATTGTCAACTAGGTTACCTGTCAACTGAGTTACCCAGTACTGTAATAACTGTAGTAACTTAGTTGACAGGTAACCTAGTTGACAATTTGTACGACATGTAGACGTCATTACACATCATTATCAATGGAATTTTGCACTTCTGCCTTGAAATTAACATAGTGCTGATGGTTAATAATGTGTCCAGTCAACTATGTTATTTGCGTCAAATGTTTGACTTTCATTGTCAACTATGTTGCACCTCATTTTTTCAAA